CAGTGGCAGTGTCTGCTTTTGGAGCTCTCAGCCCAGAAACAGTAAGGGCTGGAGGGTGTCAAACAACTGGTGAGAAGGAGATTAGAGGGATCTCTTTGCTAGCACTGAGGCAGGACTCTGTTGCTTTGCCCATATTTGGATCTGGGTCACAGTCCTGGGTGGCAGTCCCGGGGCAAAGGGGAACACTAGCGCACCAGAGCTTGTGGCCACAGTGGAGTGAGTTCTGTCATCACACTTTCAAGGCAGAAAAGAATGCTTGTGGTCACTCACAGACTAGAGCATAGGCCAGGAGTATAGTAACCACTTCTCCTTAGGTCATACCACCTTGGAAGAAGTAACAACTTGTAGATCCCTAGAAGTATCTCTCAAAACAGCTGCACAAAACTCCTGAGGTTTGGGACACTGCTCCCTCCACTTGGGAAGCAGAGCCCTACTTTAGCAAAGAGTTAAAAGTTAAGTAATAGGCTGAGAAAATGAGCAAGAACAGAAAACATTTCTGACCGTAGAAAGTTACTGTAGTGACAAAGAAGACCAAAACAAATACTCAGAAGATAACAAAATCAAAGCTCCTACATCCAGAGCCTCCAAGAAAAATATGAATTGATCTCAGGTCATAGAAGAGCTCAAAAAGGATTTTCAGGTAAGAGAGATAGAGGAAAAATTGGGAAGAGAAGTAAGAGTGATGCAAGAAAATTATGAAAAAGTGTTCAGCACCTTGGTAAAGGAGACACAAAAAAATACTGAAGAAAATAACACCTTAAAAAACAGACTAGGCCAAATGGTAAAAGAGGTACAAAAAGCCAATGAGGAGAATGCCTTAAAAAGCAGAATTGGCCAGATGGAAAAAGAGGCACAAAAATTCACTGAAGAAAGAACTGCCTTAAAAAGTAAAATTGGCTAAATGGAAAAGGAGGTACAAAAGCTCACTGAAGAAAATAATTCCTTAAAAATTAGAATTGAACAAGTGGAAGCTAATGACTTTATGAGAAATCAAGAAACAATAAAACAAAACCAAAAGAATGAAAAAGTAGAGGACAATGTGAAATATGTCATTGGAAAAACAACTCACCTGGAAAATAGATCTAGGAGAGAAAAATTATTGGACTACCTGAAAACCATGATCAAAAAAAGAGCCTAGACATCATATTAAAAAAAAAATTATCAAGGAAAACTGCCCTGATAATTCTAGAACCAGAAAGTAAAATAGAAATTGAAAGAATCCACGAATCACCTCCTGAAAGAGATTCCAAAATGAAAATTCCCAGGAATATTACAGCCAAATTCCAGAGCTCCTAGGTCAAGGAGAAAGTATTGCCAGCAGCCAGAAAGAAACAATTCAAGTATCGTGGAGCAGGGGATGATAGAAGGAAGGACAGATTAGGGGAGGGCATAGTCATTTTTGAGGAGGGACATAGTAAAAGGAGAGAGAATAGAATAAACGGGGCAGGGAATAGGATGGAGGGAAATATATTTAGCAGTTGTAAAATTGTGAAAAATTTTGAAGCCAGTTTCTGTGATAAAGGTCTCATTTCTCAAACATATAGAGAACTGAGTCAAAAAATAAGAGCTATTTCCCAGTTGATAAATGATTAAAAGATGTGAACAGTTTTCAGATGAAGTAATCAAGCTATCTATAGGCATATTAAAAAAAATACTCTATTGATTAGAGATATGCAAATTAAAACAGTTCTGAGGTATACTACCTCATACCTATTAGATTGGCTATTAGGACAAAAAAGGAAAATGATAAATGTTCAAGGGGATATGGGAAAAATGAGGCATTAATGCACTGTTGGTGGAGTTGTGAGCTGATCCAACCATTCTGTAGAACAGTTTGGAACTATGCCCATGTATGCCCTTTGACCCAGCAATACCACCTCTGGGTCTGTATCCCAAAGATAATTAAGAAAAAGGAAAAGGACCTATGTGTACAAAAATATTAATAGCAGCTCTTTTCTGGTGGTAAAGAATTGGAAATTGAGGGGATGCCCATCAGTTGTGGAGTGGTTGATTTGTGGTTTGTGATTGTGATGGAATACTATTGTGCTATAAAATGATGAGCAGGATATTCTTAGAAAAAGCTGGGAAGACTTACACGAGCTGATGCGAAGTGAAATGTACTGTGTACAAAGTAACAGCATTATTGTGCTATGAATTCATCAACTATGAATGACTTAGCTATTCTCAGCAATACAGTGATCCAAGACTACTTTGAAGGACTTATGGTGAAAAATACTATCCATCCTAAGAGAGAGAACTGATGGTGTCTGAATACAGATTGAAGCAAGCTTCTTTTACTTTATTTTTCTTGAGTTTTTTTTGTTCATTTTCTTTCACAACATGACTGATATGGAAATTTGTTTTGCGTGATTGCACATGTATAACCTATATTGAAGTGCTTGCCTTCTCAGTGAGGTGGTATGGGGAGGGAGGAAGAGAGAGAATTTTGAACTCAGTGTTTTAAAAAAGAACGTTAACAATTGTTTTTACATGTAACTGGTGAAAAAAACTTAAAAAGAAGATTCTCACCGCTTTCAGTGTTGTTTGTTTTCACAGTGTTTTTATTGTATAAATTATTCTCCATGTTCTATTCGCTCACTTTCATCAATTCATGTAAGTCTTTCTGGGTTTCTTTGAAACCTTCCCGTTCATCATTTCTTATGGCACAGTGGTATCCCATTGCATTCATTAACCATAATTTGTTTAGCCATTCCCCACTTGATGAACACCCTCTTTGTTTCTAGTTTTTTGCTACTATAGGAACTATTATGAATATTTTAGTGTATATAGCACTTTCCTATCTTCTTTTGACCTCCTTGGAGTTGTGGCGTCAAAGTAGATGAAAAGTTTAGTAGCTTTTCTTACATAATTCCAGATTGTTTTTCAGAATGGCTTCTATACCCTTCTTTAAAACAAACAAAAAAGGTTATCCTGTTTCTTTTGAATAAAGTATGTCGGTCTAGACTCATGTTCTAGGCATGTTGCTAAGTCTCAGTGGTATCTATGAAGTCAAATGTGCCTCTTGGGTTAGGCCCTCTAGTTCAAGGCTTCTTAAACTTCTTCCACTGGCGACCCCTTCAGTGCCTCTTAAACATTCCTAGTATCCTATATGGGATCACAACCCACAGTTTAAGAAGAGTTCATCTTGTTTATTATCTATAAGTTCTCTGTGGCCATGGGTTTTATTAATGGTTCCTTTCTGTAATACTGCCCCTTATTAATTTATGGGTATCTCTTCCTACTCTTTATCAATTTTATCTGTTTTTTATGTTTCTCTACCTTGAAGGGACTATTATATAGGTTATTTGTTCCCTCTCCACTTCCTTTTCACATTAAAGCCCTTTGGATTACATTTATAGGACACTTGTTCTCAATATCTCTCATTGCCCTTTTCTACCCCATAAGTCTATCCAATGTTAACGCACTTCTCTATCACTAACTTTTAATTTGCCATCAGCAAACTGTCAAGCAAAAGAATTTCAGGTCTTCTGTTTTGGTGGTCAGTGCGGCTTCCTTTTAACCTTCCTCATAGACTACTCAAGAATTTTTTGGTTTCTTGGTTTCTTCACTGTGGGAAGATGCTCTGGTATAATGAAGAAAGGGTGAAGCCAGTCCCAGCTGCAGCACTGAGTGTAGCACAGTTTTAAGTCATGGGTTCCTGAGGTTTTTTTTTTATTTTGAGGGTTTGACTCCTTTCTTGCCCAAAGTAAATACCCTTATTTTCTGAATTGTTTGCATTAAACATTTTAATGATGAAATAATTCCAACTTCAGTCATGCTTTAAGGTTTACAAAGCGCCTTCCTCGCAATAACCCCGTAAGGTGGTTAGTACAGGTATTATTATCCTCTATTCTCAGATGTGGAAACTGAGTGGTTAAGGGAATTGCTAAAATTCACACAGCTAAACTGTCAGAATAAGGATTCAGACCCAGGTCTCTTGATTCTAAATCCAGTGCATTTTCTACTGTATCGTGCTTCTTTTCTGTGTAGAGTATAGGGGAGCACTTTATTTTGTGTGATAATAATATAGACCATGTTTCTGTAATGCTCCAAGGTTTACAAAGTGCTTTCTTCACCATAGCATTGGTAGAGATGGAGCCAATGGCCAAAATGCCTTCTTTCAATTGAAGGAGCCTTGCTCCTACCTATTATCTGTTGCTCTAGCTTCCTTGGATTAGTCTCATCTGCATTTCATTGAGGAACCTAAGCTATGCGGATATTCAAAAAACTTTTATAAAAAGAACTTTGGATTCCTTCCAAAGTCAGAGGATGACTCAGCCATGATAAGAATTCTGCTCTGGAATTAAGTGGCTGGCAGACTTCATTTCAAGCATAATTATGATGCCTCTCTCCCTCTCATTCTCCCCAACTGTCTGCCGGCTTCATTTTGTGCCTGTCACGCCGCCTGAACAGAGAAGGCTGCTGTGAGTGGCCTTCCTTTTGGCTTTAGTTTCTGGTGTTCCCTCCTGAATTATGATAAGTGTGATAGTAAGAGGGGAGTGAGATCATAAAGTGATGCTTTACGATTCCAGCCCTCACTTTGTTTTATATAAATCACAGAAATCGTCTGTGCCTTTAGTCTTGCCAAATTCCTTGTATGGCAGGGTGGACACTGATTAGCATCCAGTGATGGACAGGCAAACTTGCCAACAAAGTCAAGTCACTTGCGCCTTTTCATTTGTGTTCTCTTAGTATTTGTGTTCTTCAGCTATGCTTAGAATTGTGTAATTAAATGTACTGAGTTGGAAAAGATCTCAGTGTGTTGGAGAGATGATCTCTCATTTTTCTGATGTGGAATCTGAGGGAGGCCTAGCATGGTTGAAGTGACTTGTTCAAGGTCCACAGCTGTTCACTGAGCTGGACATCTATCTATCTATCTATCTATCTATCTATCTATCTATCTATCTATCTATCTATCTATCTATCATGTATCTATCTAGGTTATAGTTACTTAGGTCAACAGTCTTTCTCCTAACATTCTGGATTTCCATTGTGTTTAGGAGTCTGAGGTGGAAACAAAGACAGATGGGGAGACTGCATCAGACAGTGAGAGCCGAGCTGAACCTGCACCGATAGCCACTTCTGATGATACTCCTGAGGTCTTCAACCGGGCACTGTCAAAACTGTCCTCAAGGTGACTCAAATCATCAAGTATCTGAGAATCATTTAATATCTACTTAATTTACTGGCCCCTGTAGGAGATACAGATATGAAATGGTCCATTTGTTCAAGTTGATGATTATCTTTTTGGAGAGTCGTTATTATCATACGGAAAAGAATTAAAGAATAATCCTGGACAGTTTGTGATCAAGAGTTAGGTTTGTATGCATTCAGTTGCCAAAGTGTGTGGAGTGGATGATAAATGCTGTGGTTGGTCTAAAGATAATGGAAAAGATTATCATTGGTCAGTATCATTAGGCAGAGATTTTTGAAGAAAATGGCTACAGCTTGGAGGAAGGTATGGCGAGGGGGGAGGGAAATGAACAAGAGAAGAGGTACAGAAGTGGGAATGAGTGTAAGGTGTGTGTGTGTGTGTGTGTGTGTGTGTGTGTGTGTCTCTTTTGAATTCATTTGTTTATTGGGAAAAACAGTATTGAGAAAGAGCAGGTAAGCAAATTGTTCTGCCTTGTTCTTTGTTAACTGAGCATCTTCCCCCCACCCCAGTATACCCTGATCATGTTTTGAAGTTTGGCTGTTTCTTGTCCATAGCCCCATACTTATATTATTTCTTCTTTCCAAGTTGGAGAAATTTCAGCACAAACTACGTTGAGTCGAATAAGGATTATAATTTGTTATAGCTGAATTTAGAAGCTCTGTGGTGATCAAGTTATGAACAGAATTGATGGCCCTGCCACACACCACTAGAGAGATCCAGATTGACATGCATCTGTGAATCACAATTTTTTTTTGGTTATGGTTGGTCAATAAATTCTAAGTTTTCCTAATTGTATTAGCCTCTGCTGCACACTTATTTAATCTTATCTCCAAGTTATTGCGAAACATTCTGTAAAATGCCAATTTGAAATTCAGGTGTTGTTTGTCTGATTTTCCCCTTATCCACCAGTCTAATAACACTGCCCAAAAAGGAAACAAAAAGAAAGGAGCTTAGTCTGACTTAACTTATTTTAAATGAACCCATGCTGGCTCTTTTGATCATGATTTATTGCCTTTTCAGCCATTTATTTAGCCAGCCATTTACTAACCTGTTCTAGAATTTTGCCAGGCGTGAAAGTCAAGTTCTCAAGTGTATGGTTTGGAGACTGCACCTTCTCATTTTTGAAAATTGGTACATTTCTCTCTTTTTCATCCTGCATCACCTTTCCCATTCTCCAAGAGTTTTCAAAGATCAGTAGCAGCAGCTCAACAGTCATAGCCTCTTGTTCTTTCAGTAGAGGTAGGTAGTGCGTTTGGGCCTGGTCACTTGAGCTCATTGAGAACTCTTAGGTTTTTTTTTTAAAACCATCTCCTCACTTATCTTGTTCAATATTTCCTAGTTTTAAAAAAATCACATTCATGCCTGAACTGTCAAAAGGGGAATAGAAATAGAGTATTTCTCACTTCTTGTAAGCCCTTCAAAATTTGCTTCATTGGGGTATGATGGGTGGGCACTGAGACCAAGACTGGAGTTTCTGGTGAGATGCACAGTAATTCTTCTGGGGACCTTTCGTTCCAGTAGGCTAGTTCTTAATATCTCTTTCCTTCCTCTAATAAGATTGAGGGAGCGGTGACCAATGTTGGAACTTCTGTCTTATTATCAAAGGGGCAGAGAAAAGCTGAGAGTGCCGGCTGTGTCATTAAAAAGGGACGTTGTGGGCAGCACTGACTTTGAGGGACACAAGCTAAGCAGAGGATCAGTTGAAAGAAGCCCCAGAAGATCAATTTTGTTTCCATTTATGTTTTACCAAAACCAGCAGCTGTCATTAATACATTTTTAAGAATTATTGTAATTCTGTAACTTTACCCTTTTGTTTTTAGACTTCTATTTCTGCATGTTTATCGTCAGTAAAACCTTCAAGTTTGTTTTTTTTTTTTCAATTGGTTCTGAGCCTGCAAGACAGGGGGAGAAGCAGAATTTTGAATTCCTTTCCTGAGGAAGATCTGAGGGAGACAGATACTAAAAACAAAACAAAACAAAAAAATGATGGGAAGAAAGCCAAGTCCTGGGACTTAGAGAAGAGGATTTTGGGTCGCAGGGCTTGAGTCTGGGACCATATAGTGTGTCTGGGGTTTAACATTGGCAAGAGGCTCTGGATGTCCCCATAAACTTAATTCTTAGTTTCCTTCAGTGCTTGGGACAAAATGTTGATTTGATGAAATGAAGGTCCTTTGTTCCCAACTTCTCTGAAGGTGTGCCAGAGTTTCTGGCCTAGAGGAAAGAGATTTTCTTATAGAGAAAATGCTTAATTTCCAGTAATCATCAGTATCCACCAAAGGTGAGTGATGTAAGAAGGGTTTGGTTCTAGGTTCTACTTATGCACATGTAGGTCACTTTCAGTGTACCTAACTGCGTTTTCTTTGAACTAGATGGAAAAACTGGTGGGTGAGAGGTATCCTGACTTTGGCTATGATTGCCTTTTTCTTCATCATCATCTATTTGGGACCCATGGTTTTAATGATGATCGTAAGTAGCATTTGCATGTTAATGTAGCCTGACCTCGAATTCTGTAGGGCCTGTCATCTTATTAATTGTGGGGCTGATTTGATTTGGAGGTGAGCATGCTGTCAGAATTCAGCCACTGACATTCAGTAAACATTTATTAAGTGCCTCTTGTGTGCAGAGCAAGAAGGATAAGATCAGCACAGCTGGAGCCCTTTTTGACTTCCCAGGGCCCTTGTTTCCCCTCTGAATAAGGGTTCCAGTGCTCCTGGAAAGAGATTTAGGTTTGAATTATAGAGTGGTCATCTCTAGTGAAAAGATCACCTACATCAAGGAAATCCCAGGTCTTTGAAGCAAGTTTTTAAAAAAGTCTATACATGCCCAGATTTATGGGGGAAGAAAAATGAAGTGTTAATGGGAATCCGGATAATGATGACAGGAGCATTGTTTGTAGGTCCGAGCAGGTTAGATCTGTTATGTCTTGCTTGCTCTTTGGCCAGTAATTTGTATGACAAGGCTACTGATTTCAAGTCTTATTCTCCATTGCCCCTCCAACCCACACACGTAACTTGCTCTCTCAAGTTATAGGGATGGGGTGGAGTGGAGGGAGTGGCTCAAAATATAAGAAATTATAGTAAATGGCTCAATTCTTCTGTCTTGCAGGTGATGTGTGTTCAGATTAAGTGTTTCCATGAGATTATCACTATTGGCTATAATGTCTACCACTCATATGACCTACCTTGGTTCAGGACCCTCAGTTGGTAAGCAGCCTGTCTCCTCCAGGGTCTGTAAGAGCCCTTAATAATAAATCATGAGCTTTATTGATTCCCAGATGTTTCACCAACATCTGCAAAAGTGTGCAGTGCCCATCTCTTGGTAAGGAGGTGTGCTTCTGCCCCATGGGAGCCAAGGAGCCATTAAGCAACTGCTGAAAACTTCCATTTTAACTCAGAAGGAACCTAACTGGTCATATCTATGGCATGGAGTATGTTTGGGCTTTATGGCTTCTGTTTAAGAAACCTGTATTTTCTGTTCTACCGTAATTTAACCACCAAAGTTTAGAAGACTCATATTGAACTGGGAGTCATGAAATCTGGGTTCTAGTTCCAGCTCAGCTACTAAAGCAGATTTATGAATAGGAGCAAATCACTTCCTCCTGGGTGCTGTTTGCCTTTTCCCCCTTTCTGCCAGTCTCAGTTTTCTCTTTTGTAAAATGAAGGAATTGATATAACTAGACTAAGGTCTTTCACAGTCCAAGACTCAGATTTTTGGCTAAGCCATTTTTAGGTGCTAATCTATTCTCTGATTCCTTTTAATGTTGAGTTTGCTATCGATTTACTTTCTACACTTATCTGGTTCCTTCCATTGAGCCAGAATTTAGAAATTCAGTATTTTATCTTTTCATAAATGTACTGAACTGTATACAGCACGATAATAAGACTAAGGAAGAAAGTCCGCACAAAGCACAGTGGGCAGTGGCAGACTGCCGGGCAGATTCGAAAGGTTCTTCCTGCAGAGAACTCGCGTCTCCTTTGTGACCGACTCACTGGGGGCGTCAGGGGGCCGGTGACAGAAGAGTGGCCAACAGGAGATGGGGTGGTGCCTCTGAAAGACCAGGATTTGCATGGACAAGATATTTAACCTTTCTGGGTCTCAATCTTCTCATTTGTAAATTTGTGTTAGATGATTCCTTCTAACTGTGTACACACACACACACACACACACACACACACACACACACACACACACACACACACACACACACACACACACACTGGTGTAGTGCAGTGAATCAAAGTTCAGAGGAAGCAAGGAAGCTTGGACAGTTGGCTAGCGAGTTGACCAGTTAAGGTAGAAGTTCCCTATAGAGAGGCAGTGGGAGAGAAGGTTTGCAAGGTAGGTTGGAGCCAGAATATGGAGGGTCTGGAATGCTAGCCTAAGTAGTTTACATTATTATTCTGATTTTTGCTTTCCTGGTTACAATTGGAAGCTTCACAAAAAGATCAAGAGCTGAAAATGTAATTTGTAGCATCTGACTTCAGTTCATTTCGGTGAATATCTGTTAAGCACTTAATATATGCAGAATCCTGTGCAAAGTGCCAGGGGATAAACAAAGTTTAGCTGTGATAAGGTCCTTGCAATCTTGGACTGTATACTGGTAAGGGGATTGTCCACATATATGTCACGCAGACTGTGGTGTGATTTATCACACAGAAATAACATTTATCATGTATTATAGTTAGGTACAAAACAGTGCTATGTGAGTGCTAAGGGAAAACTTTGGTATATCAAAATTGTATATGCTGTCATGGTTAGGGAGGATTTCATACAGGAGGTGGCTTTTGAGTAGGGCTTTAAAAGATGGGAAGGAATTCATTGGGCCAAGAATAGGTACAAAAGAAGGTAGAAGAGCATTCCAATCACTGGGTTAGCCAAGATGAGTAAAAGAACATGTGGGCATTCAGGGGACAAGACAGTAAGTCTGTTTTGGCTGGACCACAAAGTGTGTGAAGTGAATTAGTATTATAGAAAGTTGGAAAAGTAGGGAGATGCCAGATTTTGAAGGGCATTGAATGCCAGGCAGGAATTTAAATATTGCTCAGCTGGCAGGAAATATCCATTGAAGAATCTTGGGCAGAGTTTGATGACTAGATACATTCTTTTGGTTTTTTTTTAGGCTATTGGGGTTAAGTGACTTGCCCAGGGTCACACAGCTAGTACGTGTCAAGTGTTTGGTCTGAGGTCGGCTTTGAACTCAAGGTATTCCTGACTTCAGGGCCGGTGCTCTATCCTCTGCGCCACCAGCTGCCCCCGACTAGATATATTCTTAAGGAAGATTAGTTTGACAGTGGTATGAAGGATGGATTGGAGGAAAGAATAGGGACAAGAAGACTTGTGAGGAGGTTTATTGCAATAATCTAGGTGAGTGGTAATGAGGGCCTGTACCACAGTGATAGTAGTAAAAATAGAAAGGAGGAAATATATGGATTTGGGGAAGAATTGACAGGACTTTGGGTAATTGATGGATAAGAAAGATGAGGGGAAGATGTAAAAGATAACTAATGGTTCTGGATATAGGCAACTAGATGAATAGTAGTGTCATAACCAGAAATACTGAAATCATAAGGAAGAGAAGTTTTTGAAGGAAAAGTGATTAAAATTCGGTATCTGTTGAGTTTGAAGGGTTGATGGTATCTTGGAGGCAACTGGAGCTGTAGTTCTAGAGTTTAGAAGGGAGGTCAGGTGGGACTGAAGAGCTAGATTTGGAAATCGTTTGTATAATACTTAGTATTTATTTGCATAGAGGTAATAATTGAAAACTAATTGAGTGAATAGAATTGCTAAGGAATGTTCCCAACTGAAAAGCCTAGAAGACTCTAGGAAGTTGAAAGGCACAGTTTTCCCTGTCCCCCATGTACAAGAAGCCAGAAAACAGGAAGGATGGGACTTCAGTTGAACACCTTCCTGCAGCATTGTCTGATTGCTTAAGTGCAAGGAGTATGTTGTGGGTCCTTCTTTTTCCATGGAAAGCAACTTTTCTTTGTTTGCAGGTACTTTCTATTGTGTGTGAATTATTTTTTCTATGGTGAAACAGTGACTGATTACTTCTTCACTCTGGTCCAGAGAGAGGAACCTTTGAGGATTCTCAGTAAATATCATCGCTTCATTTCCTTTGCTCTTTACCTAACAGGTAATTAATTATTAGTCACTTCACTAGTCTTCATGTTTTTGTCATTTACAGAGTCTGTTGAGTAGAAATAATGCAGTCTGGCAGCATGGTGTAGTAGAAAGAGTTTGGTACTGGGATCTGGTAAATCTGGGTTTTGATTTGACTTTTGAAATTCAGTAGTTGAATTAACATGGGCAAATCACATAACCTCTCTTTAGCTAAGTTTCTCTATGTCTAAAATAGGATTATATTTATACTGCTTTTCTGAAAGATTCATTGTGAGGAATTGCTTTATGAACTTTAATAATGCTTCACAAATGAGTTATTTAAAATTATTAACAGGAATTATTTCATATAATATTTTGAAAGTTTGGACTGTTTCTTCATGCATACAATGAAAGGGTTGGACTTAAAGTTTCCTTGTAACTATGAAGGTGTGAGTGTATAAATACACAGTAAGTGAATATGTACATTTCTGTATGTATAAAGAACATATACACATATGTAAGTATGCATATATTTGATGAAGCTTGACCATGGAATTTTACCTCAGCTGCTTGTCCAGAAGAGAGAATAAAGCCAGCGTCTATAACACTAGTACCAACAGCTCAGCCTTGTGTTGAAGCATAAACATCTTTCTAAGGGGAAAGCTGCTGAAAAGAGCAGTCATGTGATTGGTAGACTGGTAGAAACATTAGTGGTAATGGTATTTTTTTGTTTCTCTGGCCTTTGTAACTAAGCCTTGAAATGTTGCCAAATTTATCCAAAGAACCACTAAGCACTGATAATGGAAATTGAAAAAAGAGATGAGTCTAGGAAGTGACTCATCCCCATCTTTGTCTGTTTTACTTCTTTCCATCTAGGGTTCTGCATGTTTGTATTGAGTCTGGTTAAGAAGCATTATCGACTCCAGTTCTATATGGTAAGAGGAAATAAGTGATGGACTGCAGGAGAGAGAGGGGCAAGTGGGAAGAGGCAGCTTGAGTGCTCTTAGCTTAAATGGGATTCCAGTGGGGAAATTCACCCAGTTTTTCCTGTCTTTCACTGTAAGGCAACACAGTGTCCATACAGACTCCTTCTCCATTCCCAGGGCATTTGGAACAGATGCATGATGGGAGAGTATCTTATGAATCTAGACTATTTAGAGCTGCTTAGTTTGATCAGATGCTATTACTTAGTATCGTATATAGGACATATCTCTTGATGCCTTTCTGAGTGATTTGAGCAAGTCATTTCTTTACGGGAATCTTTCCCCTCCTATTCTTATAGATTGACAACTTGGTAATTCAGGAAATGTTAGGCGTTTTTTCAAAAATACAACTTTTTGTGGATTCTGGTTCTGCCACTTCATAATTGTGTGACATTGCGGAAGTTATTTCCCTATTGTAAGCCTTGGATTCCCATCTGTAAAAGGATGATAATAATACTTGTACTTTTTTCAGTCGTGGTTGTTTTTAAAGGAAAATATTTTTGTAAATCTTGAATGAAGCATACCTCAAATATGAATTCTTATGATTAGTCTCCACCCAGGCTTTAAGTCTCTAGAGGCCAGGGACAGTGTCTTAGCTTTTTTTGAAATGTCCCTCACAGGATCTCAGGTTAAGGAGTTGGATTAGGTGACTGAAGTTCCTTTCTGCTTTTGGATCCCATGATTCTAAGATAATGATTTGTGAGGTCTTGCTCAGTATTAGAATGCTGGCATAGTATGGTGGAAAGAGCCCTGGACTGGAAATCAGGAAACCTAGGTTCTAGTTTTGGCCCTGCCACTAAAAAGCTGAGATTTCATTCCCTGGTTAAAGTCTAGGGAACTCAAATCTAGCTCTGAATTTTTTATAGAATCAGTCATCAATTGGCAAGAGTTTTTTAAAGCACCTGCTGTATGCTAGGCACTGTGCTAAATACTGTTGATATAAAGAAAAACAATAAATAGGCCCTGCTTTCAAGGAGCCCACAGAGCACAGGTCTTCACTTGTTTGGCCACAGTGCTGATCTCAGTTGTCTTGAAGGGAAGTTAAGGTGAGAGGAAGTGTAGAAGGGAAGCAGCATTGTGAACAAGAGCTCAGAGGTACAGATTATGTGCCTCTCTCCCAAAAGGAGTAGAAAGGGGCAGGACGAGGCATCTCTTCTATTCATAATTCACCACAGCTTTCTCCTTAAGGCTATTCTCTGAAATGACTTTAGAGATGGACTGGAGTCAAGGACACTGTTTTTTTCTCTTTCCTACAGTTTGGTTGGACTCATGTGACTCTGCTTATTGTTGTGACCCAGTCCCATCTTATTATCCATAACTTGTTTGAAGGAATGATCTGGTGAGTTGGAGCAAGGTGGATGTGTGTGTTTGTGTGGATGTGTGTGTAGGTCGTGAGAGTGGAGGGAGGAACAAATCTCATTCTTTACCATGTGAGATGAGGCCTCAACTGAAGAAAAATAGCTCATGTGAGATGTCTTCTTGATCAGGTTTCAAGTCATTTCATCTGCTTGCAGGAATTCAGATTCAAAGTCAATCACCAAGTACTCTGCCCAACAAAAATGATGAGCAGACTAGTAGAAGAACTGGAATCTGCAATGGCAAGTCTCACCAAAGAAACAAAAGAGAGGACAATAGATTGGGAGTGTATATATTAAAAGAAAATGTGCTCACTATACAAGCAAAACACACTAATCTTTTTTAAAAATTGATGTATTTTCAGTTTTCATCATTCACTTTTATAAGACTTTGAGTTCTAAATTTTTCCCCTCTCTCTACCCTTTCCCCTCCCCAAGATGGCATGCAATCTGATATAGGCTATACATGTGCAATCATATTAAACATATTTCTACATTAATCATGTTATGAAGAAGAATCAGAACGAAAGGGAAAAACCACAAGAAAGAAAAAAAACAACAAAAAGAAAGTAGTATGCTTTGACCTGCATTTAGACTCCATAGTTCTTTCTCTGGATATGTATAGCATTTTCCATCATGAGACTTTTGGAGATGTTTTAGATCCTTGCATTGCTGACAAGAGCTCAGTCTAACAAAGCTGATCATCACACAATGTTGCTGTTACTGTGTACAGTGTTCTTTCACTTCATTCAGCATCAGTTCATGTAAGTCTTTGCAGGTTTTTCTGAAATCTGCCTGCTCCCCATTTCTTATGGAACAATAGTATTCCATTCCATTCATATACCACAACTTGTTCAGCCATTTCCCGATTGATGGGCATCCTCTCAATTTCCAGTTCTTTGCCACCACTAAAAGAACTGTTATAAATATTTTTGTAATATGGGTCCTTTTCCCTTTTTTTTGATCTCTTTGGGATATAGACCTAATGATGGTATTGCTGGATCAAAGGGTATGCACAGCTTTATAGTCCTTTGAGCATAGTTCCAAATTACTCTCCAGAATGGTTGGGTCAGTTCACAACTCCACCAATAATGCATTAGTGTTCCAGTTTTCCCACATCTTCTCCAACATTTATCATTTTCCTTTTTTGTCACATTAGCCAATCTGTTAGGTGTGATATGGTGCCTCAGAGTTGCAAAACACACTGATCTTGAAGACAAGATGTGTAGAGACAACCTAAGGATCATCTCCCAGAAGAAAATGACAGGACAAAAAACCTTAACACCATAATGCAGGAAATAACAGAAGAGAACTGCTCAGAACATAGAACATGAATATGTTAGGAACATAGAACATGAAATATTAATTGAAAGAATTCATAGATCACTTTCAGGAAAAAAAAAACCTGTGACTGCAAACTCCAAGACATGTAGTATCTAAATTTAACAGTCAATTTCAGAAACAAGTTCTACAAGCAGTCATGAGGATGACCTTCAAATACAAAGTGAAGGAAATTTCAGTAATACAGAACTAGGAAATGTAGGAGAGAATGGAATAATGTATTTGGAAGAGCACTGGAATTTGAAATGCAGCCCAGGGTGACCTACCCTGCAAATCTAAGTTTAACCATTCATGAAAAAAGATGAGTATTCAATAATAAAGAGGTATTTGAAACATTTTTAGGAGGGAAACCAGAACTGAAGAGATTGTTTCTTGAATACTCCAAATAACAGAAATGTTGGAGGAGTGAATAAATGTAATAGCCAAGTACAGTAACAGCAACAGAGTGACAGCAGAGAGACTAGTAAGAAACTTCTTTCTAAATGTACATAAGGAGACAGGAGTAAAAGCAGAAGTATGTTGGAGGTAATAGTGAATAGGTGGGTCTGGGGCATTATGGACAGAATCTGGTCACACTTTGACTGCAGATGTGAGACTACATTACAATGTGGGAGGGTACATGAAAGGAGGAAAAAGGAGCAGGGAAATAGAAATGCATGATATGTTGGAGTCAAATCTAGGGCTAGCAATGAGGGAAAAGTGACCTGTTTGGTCTCCTAAAGAGAAGACCCTACAGAGGAGTGGGGGAGGATTAAGGAGGAAGGATCGAAAAGTGCTGAAAGGTTCACAAGTGGGAAACGTTTAAGAAGCCCTGCTCTAAATCACTAATAGTAAGAGAAATGCAAATCAGAATAGTCCTGAGGTTCCATCTTTTATCCTGTAAATTGGCAAAAATGATGAAAAAAAATGACAGCAGTCAGTGTTGGAGGATTGTGGAACGATAGGCACCAGATACCTTGTTGGTGGAGCTATGAAGTGATACAAGCATTTTGGACTATATTTAACAAATGAAGTGACTGAAATATCCATACTCTTTGAACCAGAAACTTATTAGTGCACTTATACCCCAAGGCAGCCATCATAGGAAGAAAGTCTCCATATACTCCAAATTATTTACAGCAGCACTTTTTGTAATAGCTAAAAATTGTAAGGGTAGCTAGGTGGCACAGTGGATAGAGTACTGGCCCTGAAGTCAGATAGACTCATCTAACTAAATTCAAATCTGGCCTCAGACACTTACTAGCTATGTGACCCTGAGCAAGTCACTTAACTTTGTTTGCCTCAGTTTCCTCATCTGTAAAATGAGTTGGAGAAGGAAATGGTGGTTTTGCCAAGAAAACAATTGTAAACAAAGTTGGTGCCCACCAATTGAGGCCAAATTGTGGTATATAAGTGTAATATAATATTATTATGGTCTAAGAAATGATGTATGATGACAACAGAAGAGATCTATATGAAAGCTGAAATAAGCAGAGTCAAGAAAACATTATACAAAGTAGCTACCATAATATAAATGGGAAGAACAATTACACACCAAAAAATCAAAAGCAAGTATAACAAAATTATAAACATCAAATGGGACTCAAATGAAGAGATGGGAGAGGACACCCCCAACCTGCCACTTTGTGAAGTTGGGAGGTCCATAGGTGTTATACATCTCACATTGACTTTTTCAATGTATTGATCAGTTGTGCTTTTTTTTTCCTTTCTAAAAATACTGTTTGTCATATGGGATGACTCTCTGGAAGGTAGGGGGTAGAGATGTTTGGAATGACTATAATGATGTAAAAAACAAAAGATATCAATAAAAACTCATTTTAAAAGATTATTGCATTAGGCCAGTTGAGAAGGGATGGGTTGTAGTTGTATGAGTAGAGAGAAGGGGACATGTGAGAGATGGTGTAAAGGTAGAAACAAGATTTGGCAATGTGGACAACACGAAGGTTGCAGGCCTGATTGACTGGAAGGATGATGGTGTTCTTGACAGTAATAGGGGAGTTCAGAAGGAGGGAGGGTTTTTGGGGAAAGATAGTAAGTTCCCTTTTGGACATGTTAAGTTTGGGATGTCCAAGAGGAGGTTGGAATTGTGTGACTGTAGATCAGCAGAGACTGGGAATCATCTGCTTAGAGATGCTAATTGAGCTCTTGGGGAGCTGATGAGCTCACCAGATGAATTAGTATGGTGTGAAAAGAGAAGGGGCCTTGGGTTAAGAGGAGAAATAAGAAAGAATAGTATCATTAAAATTGCCCAGAGAGGAGAAGGCATCCAGGAGAAGAGGATGGTAATAGTGTCAAAGACTGCAGAGAAGTCAAAATGAACGAAGACTGAAGAAAGGCTAACAAATTTGACAATTAAGAGATCATTGGCAGTTGTGGAGAGACCAGTTTCAGTTGAATAATGAAGTCTGAAGCCAGAATGAGAGGAGAGGAAGGTGAGGTTCCAGTTACAGGCAGCTTTCTCAAGTAGTTTAGCTGTAGAGGCAAGGAAAGATAGAAGATAGTAGCTAGCAAGGATGGTGGGATCAGTGAGGGTTTTTAAAGGATAGAGGGGTGTGTGTGTGTGTGTGTGTGTGTATATATATATATATATATATATATATATATATTCCCCCTCCCCTCCTAGCACTTGCCTGATAACTGGCTTGTGTCTCATAAATGTGAGCAGTCTTTGGCTTGCTTTCAACCTTAAAATCAGCTCCAAAGTTCTCCCTCTCTTTTTTCAGTAACTTCATGGATTACAGTCCATCTAGACTCAGTCAGTAGTACCTGGCATCATCTGACCTTCCACAATCCTCTTGTTAGCTAATCTGAAGCAAATCAGGGAACATTCCACTTTCATACTTTCATCTCTCAACTAATTATAATTACTGTGCTCAAAAATCCCCAAATATAGATCTGAAAGAAGAGGTAGCAGATAAAACCTTGTTTCCCATCAATCACCATGCTGAAATTCCTAAAAAAGAGGGATGCACAGAAGAGATGGAACCAATAAAGGTATATTTTTAGGCAGCAGGGGAAGAGCCAGTACCTAGGGAGAGATTAAAGATGTGAGAGAGTTTAGAGCTTTGGGATGATAGTAGTTGCAATTTGCTAGAGAAGTGAGGAGGGGATGGGTTCAAGGGTATATGTAGAAAGGTGTACTTTAGTGGAGGAAAGCATCTAAAGGATGAGGTGAGGAGGGGAGAAAGGGAGCTCTTGGGAAATGGGCTCAAAGTGTGAGTTGAGGTTTTCAGCTGAGAAGCTGAATGGGAACAGGCTTAAGGGGGGGACAGAAGGTTAGAACAGCTGTGTGAGAAGAGTGAGAGAAAAAAATCAGTTGGGAGGAATAGAATGTTTGTCCCACTGCACTTGAGGGTTCAGTTGAGATTAGCTGCCGTAATTTGTAATGAGACCAGTTTCATGATTGCTTCTAGCTCAGTTCACCATCATGTCAATGTTAGTTGAAGAGGCAGATGGTGGGAATAATCCAGAGCTGGACGTGGCAAGACATGATCATCAAGGTTTGGAAAAACTAGTAAGAGTTTTAGAATAAGAAACCAGAATACTTTTCAGAGCGTTTGCCCCACTTGTGAGCTAGTACTTTGGCAGTTGAGCTTTTAGAAGGTGTGTGTGTTTCAGTCCCCCAAAGGCCTCCTCGTGGGGTGGAGGAGGACCTTGTTTATGTTAGCAACACAAACTGAAGGAGTTACTTTCAAGCTAGTGAGGCTTGGAGTTCAAGTGCCTTGATAGTTTTTCATCTGAGCCAATTTAGTTCAGAGAGACTTATTCCTGGCCCAAGGTGATAGACTTTTTCTAATCACAGACTGTTTGCTGAGTTACAGAATAGTTTTGATCTGTGTTGATGGAAGGAGTATTCATAGCTGTGAATTTGTAGATCCTTACAGTGTGAAGATATCTCAGTCATGTTAGTGTTCAATTATGGTCACTCTTGTGATGCTGATGAGGGGATGCTGCAGACATCAGAAATGACACGTGTTGCTGGGTGGGACAGATGAGAGGAGAGAGCATCAGAACTGAGATGGCCAGGGCCACTTTTAAAGATATTCTTTAAAAACAAATGTTAGAGTTGTATGTACTTAAATAATCTTGACAGCTTGCTAATAATGCTTCTGACTTCTCTCCTTTTTTAATTCCTCCTAGGTTTATTGTTCCCATTTCATGTGTGATCTGTAATGACATCATGGCCTATATGTTTGGCTTTTTCTTTGGTCGGACCCCACTCATCAAGGTGAGAGAATTTTCCTTGACGTGAAATATCACAGGGCAGTTCTTTCACTGGGAAAAAGTTGCCTTGGGAGACAGAGAGAAACCTAATTGATTTTTTAAAATGTATTTTTTTATTCTGAACTTAGCAAAGACCAAATAAAATTAGCATTTACATAGAATGGAAAAAGAGAATTGTGCATGAAACTGTGAATTTATATTATGTACAACTTCCTTTTTCCTGTTAAAAATATAATAAATTTAACGTGCAACTTTAAAGTTATTTGCTAGTCTTTGTTTCCTTCTGTTCTCTCCTGTGTGTTTAAAAAATATTTCAGTGACCCTCTTTTACCTTTTTTCCCTTTGGGTAACACTAGTAGATTTAAAATTGAAAGGGCCATTACAAAATCACATCTATTCCACTCCTTTAATTTAAAAAAAATGTTATTATATAAATTGTTCTTTTGATTCTGCTTGTTTGAGTCATACAAATTTTCCCAGGCTTCTTGGAAAACTTCCCTTTTATAATTTTTTCTACAACATTATAATATTCTCTTCCATTCACATACCATAGATGTTTTTTTAATCCATTCCCCAGTTGATGGGTATGACCTTAGTTTGCAGGGATTTTTTTATTCCCTTGAAAAATGCTTCTATAAATATTTTTGTACATATGGGTCCTTGTCTTCTTTGATCCCTTTAGGGTGTCGATTTAGGATTGATACTGAAGGATAGCTTTGGGGCATAGTTCCAAATTGTTTTTCAGAGTGGTTGGACCAATCTATAGCTTCTCCAGTGTGCATTAGGATGTATCTTTTTCACCCAGCCCTCTTGCAATAGTTACTTTCCCTTTTTGTCATCTTTGCCAATTTGATAGGCATGAGGTAGAATCTTAGAATTGTTTTCATTTCATAGCTCTAATTATTAATGCTTTAGGAGCATTTTTTCATAGTCTTAATAGCTTAGATTTTCTTCTTTGAGAACTCATACCATTTGGCCATTTATCTAAAGAGGAACAGCTCTCATTCTTAAATTAAAATATTGCCATACACATATATTTATACATAGGTACATATATATTAGATATCAGACTTTTATTAGAGAAATTATAAAGGTTTTTTCCTAGTTAACTATTTCTTTTCAAATTTACTGCATTAGTTGTGTTTGTGCAAAAATGTTTTAATTTTATGTAATCAAAATTGTCCATTTTATCTTCTGATGTCTTCTCTATCCTTTTTTTTGGATATGAACTCTTCCTCTGTTCATAGTTGTGAAAGGTATTTTCTTGTTCCTCTAATTTGTTTATGATGTGACCTTTTTAATCTAAGTCATATATCTATCTGGAGCTCAAAAGAGATTTCAGGAGAACTAAAGAGAAAGATTTGTGAGTCATCTGCAAAGAGGTAATTTCAGAGTGGATGAAATTGTCAAAGAGATAGTACACAGAAAAAAGAGAGGAGGGCTGAGGACAGAAAGCCCTAGTGAGCAGCATATCCATTTAAAAATATCAAGGGCTGGGGCGAGCCAGGTGACGCAGTGGATAGAGCACCGGCTCTGGAGTCAAGAGGACCTGAGTTCAAATTTGACCTCAGACACATAACACTCACTAGCTGTATGACTCTGGGCCAGTCACTTAACCCCAATTGCCTTGTCAAAAAAAAAAACTATCGAGGTTTAAGGAGCTTAGTGAAGAGCTGAATGGTCAGAGAGGTGGAGGAGCTATGAAAATGGTGTTACAGAAACCAAGGGAGAAGAGAATGTGCCAAGGGGAAGCCTACAGTGTTAGGTGATGCAAAAAGAAAGGGGACTGAGAAAAGACCATTGGGTTTGTTAATTAGGAGTTAGTGTCCTTGGAGCAGTTTCTCTAGTGTAAGGAAAGGGGACAGAAGTCAGATTATAGCAGTTTGAGGTAAGAATGGGCAATAACAAAATGTAAGTGCTTTTCTTTCTGAAAGTTTGTCATTATAGTGGGGAGAGTAAAGAAATTGGATAGTAGTTTAAGAAGCTAGTAGGAGGGGCATCAAAGTGGCCTAGTGGATAGAGCACTGGCCCTGAAGTCAGGAGTGCCCGAGTTCAAATCTGGCCTCTGACCAAACACTAGACAGTTACTAGCTGTGTGACCCTGGGCAAGTCACTTAACCTCAATTGCCTTTAAAAAAAAAAGAAGCTAGTAGGAATAAGAGATTTTGAGCTCATGATTAAATAAAAGGAAGAAGCCTGTGGAAAAGGATTCATTAAAGGTATAGACAAAATCAAGCTTATGGTAGGATACGTGCAGGATAACAAATGATGTGAATCAAATTCTACACTCTTATTTTTTTTTCTTCCTGCAGCTTTCTCCAAAGAAGACATGGGAAGGCTTCATTGGAGGATTCTTTGCCACTGTGGTGTTTGGGCTTCTGGTAGGTAGTTGACAATCCCAAGGGTGAAAATGTTTGTTGTTGGATTATTGCTGGTTATATGGTCGGTGATCCGTGAGTGTATCAGTGTTTGTGAGGTGGGAGGGGAGCTGAGTGCTCACCCCCAGGTTCAGAGGCATGTAGTGCAAAGAGAAATGGACCGAGAGTCAGGAAGACCGAATTGTGAGTCTTCCCTCTGATGGTTGCTTACCTACCCATCTCTAAAATGGAGATAATTGTGGCACTTTGTGAAGATCAAATGAGATAAAGCATATGAAGTAATTGGCAGACCATGAGATATTATGTAAATATGAACCATTTGTCTGTCTTTCAGTTTTACTTTTTGTAGACAAATCCACTTAGGAAACCAGCTAGAAGATGTCCGTATCATAGCTTTGTAGCTGCCGGAGTCACAGCTGGCTAAAGAATGAGAGGACCTGGAGATCCATTTGAGTTGCCTTTTAAGGTGACAGCTATCACAGCCCACTGCCACAATGTCAGTGCTTTAAGACATTGAGAAAGCTACTACAGCCACTAACTCCTAATGGCTCGTAGGAGCTAAGCATTTTCTTCTAAGTTCTAGCTTCCTGCTCCAGAATCGGGCTGTTTCTTTACCTCCTTAAATGCTTTGCTCAACCCTCTTGTGACCTGGCAAAGCAATCCATGCCCTTAGGCAGTCAGTTCTTTGAAAGGGAGGAGGATTTGGGTGTGGTGAATTATGAAAAAGTAGAGGATAAGAGAGTGTGGTGTCAGTAGGTGGGGTATCCCAATGTTGCCCTCTGCTGGCCCCATGTAAAAATGCATTCCATAGCCTGTGTTTCTGTATTTAACCTCTTGATGACCAAGATTCCACTTCTGAGAAATACCCTGAACAAACTCCCACTGTTTGGAGGAGTGTCTTCCTCCACCCCCCAAAAAAGTCCTTAAGCAGGGAAGATTCCATCTGTTAAGGGCAACTTCAAATCCCCCCTCTCAAGTCAGTAATTATGGTTTTTTCCTAAGAACCCACACAGCAGTATTACCTTGTTTGCATGCATGGTGTGGGGGGTGTGTGTGTGTGTGTGTGTGAGAGAGTGAGATCTGAATCTGTGATTTTATTGATGTAGGGAGCTCCTGGTATAGACATTCTATCCAGAAATACAGGTCATCTGCTCTTTAAGACCAGAAGTTCTATATGAGTTGATTGGTTTTAGATGAGGACCTTAGCAGGCATTTAAATAATGGAGACAAACACAAGCTTGAAGCAGCAAATGGTACTTTGTTACTAAGAAGCACCCGCTACTCCTTTCTCATTTTAAGTCCACCAGCCTTTCAGCCTGTGAACTTCTAGGGACAGGAAGCCCCTCCAACGGATTGTGAGGGAAGGGAAAGAAACAGATAATAATTATTATGATTCCCATTTTACATAAGAGGAAATTGAAGCAGACAGAGGTTAACTGATCTGCCCCCGGGTCATAAAACTAAGAACTATGTGAAGCAAGATTTGAATTCAGGTCTTCTAGGCTACATGCCCAGTGCTTTATCCACCATGTCCCCGGCCTGCTTAAAATGTATAGTCCTTAAGAGCCACATTCTAGGTATGGATATTATCCCCGTCTCAGTGATGACTGTGAGGTTAAATTTGCCACTTTGGATTAAGACTTCTAGTTTATCTTGTTGTCTAAACCTTGATCTCATCAGCTCCCATGGATGGGATTGTCATCTTGATGCTAATGATTCTCCTTTTTTTTTCTTTTTTAAAGGAAATTGGGTTTAAGTGACTTGCCCAGGGTCACACAGCTAGTAACTGTCAAGTGTTTGGTCAGAGACAGGATTTGAACTCAGGTCCTCCTGACTCCAAGGCCGGAGCTCTATCTACTGTGCCAACTAGCTACCCCACTTTATTTATTTATTTATTTGTTTTTTTGGCTAGGCAATGGAGTTCAGTGACTTGCCCAGGGTCCCATAGCTAGTGTTATGTGTCTGAGGCAGGATTTGAACTCAGGTCCTCCTGAATCTGGGACCAGTGCTCTGTCCATTGCACCACCTAGCTGCCCGGATGCTAATGATTCTCAAGTCTACTTATCCAGCCCTGACCTCCAGTCTTGTATCTCTAACTGCCTATTGGACTGGATATCCCCTGTGCATCTTAAACTTGACGTGCCCAAAATGGAATTTGTTATTCCCCCCCCCAAAAAAAAACCACCTCACCCTTCTTCCTAATTTTCCTATTATTTCAGAGGGTTACACCATCCTCTCAGTCCCCCAGGCTCACAGCCTAGGTATTACCTTTGACGCCTCTCTCTTACCCACCATGTCTGATCTAATATTAAGGCCTGTCAGTTTTACCTAAGTAACATCTCTCAAATATAGCCCCTTCTCTTTTCTCACACTGCCAGCACCCTGGTTTTGGCTCATTGCCTCATGTGCTTGCTCTTTGGTTTCTCTGCTGCAAGTACTCTCCCCATTCTGATCCACCTTCCACTTGGCTGTTAGAGTGGTCTTCCTAAAGTACAGGTCTGATCATGTTACACCCCCACCCCCACCCCTCAATTCAGTAAGCTCCAGTGGTTCCATATTATTTTCCAGGATCAGATGTAAACTCCTCTGTTTGGCATTCTTTACAACTTGGCCCCATCCTGCCTTTCCTTTCCACCTTCCTCCCCTCTCTGTACCCCACAGTCCAGTGCTGCTGGCATCCTTGCTGTTCCTTAAAAAAAGATCTCTATCTATGTCGTGCTGTGGGCATTTTCTCTGGTTCTCCCTCATTCCTGGAATGCTCTCCTTCCTCGTGCTTCCTTGGCTGCCTTCAAGTCCCTGTCAAAGTCTCACCTTCTACAGTAAACCTTTCCTGATCCTTCTTAATTCCAGTGCCTTCCCTCTGTTGATTGTTTCCATTTTATCTGTGTAGCTAGTTTATACTTAACTTGTTTACATGTTGTCTTCCCCATTAGAATGTGAGCTCCTTGAAAACAGGAACTGTCACCATCTTTTGCTTTTCATTGTATCTCTAGCATTGTGCCTAGCACACAGTACGCACTTAATAGATGTTTACTGACTGACTAACGTACTTTGATTTTTAAGGCTGGTTCCTTTCCTGATTTTATCCCTTGTGAGAACAAGGACCTTTTTTTTTCTTGAGAGTGAAGAATCTTTTCAAGTTTCTGAGATCATGTCTTCATGGGCAGTGAAGTATTGCCTGCCTCATGACACTCCTTCAGGTAGACCAGGGGTTAATTAGGTTCACTAAATCATTGGATGCAGACAGCATTTCTCAGAGCATGCACTTAGCAGGTAGCTTTCTTGTCTAGGTAGTAAGTGTTTTGGAGTGAGTTTAAGTGGCCTATCCTCTACTAAAGCCTTGTTCAATACTTTATCATGATGTGGAGGTGACTTTGCATTTTAGAAACTAAGATCATTCTCCTTACTCCTTCCATTTTGGGCGGGACAGATTGTATCTTACGGGATAAGCAGGGACAGATAGATTATAATCTGCAGATTTCATTGCATTAGCTTTCCCTCCAAACCTATCTCTCTTTCAGACTTACTTATTTCTATCAAAGACACCAGAATCCTTCAAGTCACCCAGGTTCACAATCTGTCATCCTGGACTTCTGACTTTCACTTATCCCATCTATCCATCAGTTCTTGTCTTTTCTGCCTATACAGCATCTCTTGCATCTGTCTCCTCCTCACTGCTCACACAGCTACCACCTTAGTTCAGGCCCCTGTTATTTCTCACATGGATTATTGCAGTAGCCTCCTAATTGGTCTCCCTGCCTCAGGTCTCTTCTCTTCTTCAGCTCATCATCCACAGATGCCAAAGTGATTTTTCTAAAGTGCAAGTCTGACTAGGTCATTCCCTTGTTAAAACTCCATTGATTCTCTATTTGCTCTATTATGATCTCATCCATTTAATGTTTGTTTTGTATGTGTTTATGTCCATAATTATGAGTAAAGTAGTACCTATATATCTTATAAAAAAGTAAAAATGCACACATAGGGGATGTGTGCTTAGAAAATTTTTATTAGTAAAGGTGTTCAGTCAAAAAAAGTTTGGAGACCACTAGTTTAAAGAATCACCTTAACAGAGTATAAAGAGGTTATCACCAAATGATTGGCCTCCAGGTGATGAATTTTTTTGCTGAAGCAGTTCAGGAAGACCATCTCCCAAGACAAAGCAGAGTGACCTTCTGCATTCCTGGAGGGAGTATCCACACTAGTGAAATTGTAGATTCTTGAAGCAGCTCTTAAGAAATATCGTGTTGTGTAAAATCTCAGGGTGTCCTCTGAAAGCTCCAGAAGGGAAGCTTTAATCTTAAAGCATGAGGTGGCACAGTGATAGAGCCCTGGGCCTGGGGTCAGGACCACTTGACCTGAGTTCTTATCTGGCCTCAGATACTTATAACTATGTAACCCTGGGTAAATCAACTTAACCTCTGTTAGCCTTAGTTTCCTCAACTGTAGAACAGGGATAATATAATAATAGCACCTACCTTCCCGCCTTTTCCGTTCCCCTTTCTTTCCCTCCCTTCCGTTTTCCCTTCTCCATCTCCTTCCCTTTTCCTTCTTTCTCCTTCCTTCTTTTCTTCCTCCTTTCCTCTCCTTTTGCTTCCTCCTTACCTCTTTCTCTCCCTCCCTCCCTCTCTTTGTTCAGTGTATGTGAACAACATGTTTATTGTGACGGAAGGATTTTGTATGAAAATGAGAACTGTTGTTGTTACTATTGTTGAATTCTTTTAGGTCCTGAGCACGAGAGGTGTCCTGTCTGGTGTATAGATTAGATGGATTTAGAATCAAAGGAACTAGTTCAAATTCTACCTCTGCCCCTTACTCCCTGTGGGAACTTGGGAAGTCACTTCATTTTTCTGTGCCTCAGTTTCCTTATTTGTAAAGATTGAGGTGGTTGGACTAGAGAGTCTCTGAGCTTCCTTTGAGCTGTAACTCTGTGATCCTTTGTTTTCATTTGAGGGCTGGACACCCTTAGTCAGCAAGCACTTTGCACCACCCCAGCAGGAGCAGCGTTTGGGAGCTTAACGAAGATAAGGACGTAGCCTCTGTCTGTCTGAGATGAGGAGGCATGTAGTGAGCACAGGGCAGAGGATTAGCAGTGTGTCATGGGTAGTGAGTATCTTACAGAGTCCATATAAACTGAAGTCATTAGGGATGTTTCCCAGAGGAGGTGAAACCTGAGGTGGTCTCGAAGGACTGGTAGGATGTGGAGAGGAGGTGGGGAGACCCTTCTTGTACACGGACTTGGCTAAATGGATGAGTGGGAACAGCTACAGTATGAGGAGAATGTGTGTGTGTGGGGGGGTGTTTTGGGGAATCACTTTGGCAGCTTAGAGGAAAGACAGATGATTACATCTGTCATTAACTTGGTGCTCTTGTTCTCTCCAAATAGCTATCCTATTTAATGTCTGGATACAGATGCTTCATCTGCCCAGTGGAGTTCAACAATGACACCAACAGCTTCACTGTGGACTGTGAGCCCTCAGATCTCTTCAGACTGCAGGAATACAACATCCCTTTGGTGATTCAGTCTGTTGTTGGCTGGGTGCGTATGGGTCAAGCCCAACTAAGGTCATGTATTTGGTGAGACTAAAAGTGAGGGTCTTCTCCACAAAAATTTCCCAAAAGGTATGGAGGTGCCAAACCAGAAAGGGTAACGTAACTATAAAGTCAGGGCAGGTTCAAAATGAGGGTAAATTTCTCTCCCCTGCTGCTCCCCCCCCCAATTATTTAAAACGATATGGAAGTATGCATGCATCTGTGGTGTCTTACATGTAGTCAGCACTTAATAGTTTTTGAATCAAATTTCAGAATCCTATAGCTGAGGAATAAAAAGTCACCTTGAGACTATTTGTCAATTTCAGTAATTCCCAATTAATGATTACTCCTTGCTTTGGTCTTTGTTTGAAGCAAAACTAGGCCAAACATGTTTATTTCTCTTGCAAAAGAAAAAAATCCCAAGAAACTTAGTTTTAGGATTTTATTTATTTATTTATTCATTTTTGATATGTTGGTGAGCTTTGCACATTGACAGAAACTGCAGACCTGGCAAAGTTAATTTCTTTTAGAAATGTTATTAAAGAAATAAAGTAAAACTGAAGGCAACCTCAGCTTTTTTTTTTTTTTTGCTATATGTTTTACAGAAAACAGTCCGGATGTATCCCTTCCAGATCCATAGCATTGCTCTCTCTACCTTTGCCTCCCTCATTGGCCCCTTTGGAGGTTTTTTTGCAAGTGGATTCAAACGGGCCTTTAAAATTAAGGTAGGAGAACCTCCCATACTTTTTCCATCTTTCTTCTCCCCAACAATGAGGCCAGTCAGGCTTTCTGAATCCATTTGGCCTTCATATTATATGTTGAACTTAACTGGGGTATTCAAAGTTTACAGTTGTTCAAAGATTACAGTTGTTCAGGAAATGGAATTTTGCAACTGGCCACCTAATTTCTCTATATTTTTAAAAGTTCCTTTGTCATAAGCCTCATTATGTCCATCTGTTTTTGCCCTCTGCTAGGGATGAGGACAAATGCTTAGTTTTTTCTATACTGGGGACTAGTTGTGCATGTGGTTAGGTGATTACTGTGTTGAGTTTAGATTCACAAACTCTCTCCTTAACTCTGATAGGACTTTGCCAACACCATCCCTGGCCATGGAGGTATTATGGACCGCTTTGACTGCCAGTACCTGATGGCTACTTTTGTTAATGTCTACATTGCCAGTTTTATCAGGTAACACAGCTTTCCTCATGCATACAGTGGAGGTTCTTTGAATTTGGTTGTCCAGTTTGCTCTTGCAGCATTGAGTTTTTAGGATGTCATATATTTCCCCATTCAACTATGAGCATGTAGCCAAATATGAATTTTGGGATTCACCATGCTACTCCTTCCACGCTATTTGTGTGATGAGTATTGAATTTAGTGCAACAGATAATAAGCTGTTGGGCATAATTAGCTTATAAAAGTGCCTTTGGCCATGATTTAGTTTCTTTTTTTCTGATTTTTCTTTCAGGGGACCTAATCCAAGTAAGCTGATTCAGCAGTTTTTGACTTTGCGTCCAGATCAGCAGCTTCACATCTTCAACACATTAAAGGCTCACCTCATTGACAAAGGGATGTTGACTGCCAGCACTGAAGACCAGGGGGCATCCTAGAAAGAGGACAGTAGGATCAGAACTGAGCTCTAGGGCAAGTCTTCAAGTCAATCCCAGCTTGTGTGACTTTTAAGACCATTACAAGACCTCATTTCACTGTTTTCCTTTTCTGTAGAATTTGTTTTTTGTGTGCTGTGGGTTTTCAAGAACAATTATCTATCTATACATACACATATACTTCGTGTGTGTGTATTTATATGATATGACTAAGTACGTAAATCAGAGTTTTGAGTTGGAAAGCAATCACAGGAATTAAACCTCTGTGGGTTTAAACAAAATAAAACATAAAACCCATAACACTGGGGGCATCTGTTCCAAAGGTTGTTCTGGTGGATCTAGGCCCTTTAAATTTAACAGTCCCTCTGTCCTATCTGTTTGGAGAGCAGAGCTGCCAACTATGGGCTGATGGCCAGAGTAGAGAGTAAACTTTACCCACTGCCTGTAACAGCCTTTCTAGCAAGACTAAAACTCATACACAGCCCAGATTACTTTGTAGTCACAGAAAGTTTTCACCACAAACCCTTTTCGAGTTCCAGCATCAATTCTGGAATGAAAACAAAGTTGTCTTTTACTGTGGAAGGAAAACATGGTGTCTGACAAATGCTTATTTATTGAAAAAGCATCTTAACGAGATGACATTTCATATAAGAAATACTATTTTGAGAGAGCATTATCATAATTTGATTTTCACTTTTGCTTCAGTGCACCTTAGAAGATGTCTTTGTTGTAATTAAAAGCAAACAAGAAACCATGAAACATGAAAAGTGATTTAAAAATAAAGTTGGATGGGGGGGAAATGCCCCCACAGTAGTATTTCCCCTGTCTACAGGAGAGCATACCTAGCTTAATGTACAGAGTTCTCACATAATTAGTCACAAGCCCTAGCTGGAATAGCATAGCTGGTTCTGTCACTCTTCAGGGATCATGTCACTCATGTCTGTCTGCTGTATTTAAGCTGGAGACTTGATGCTGCTGAATCATTTTTGTTGATTTTGTGTTTTTCTTTGAGCAGAGAGTAGGGCGGGATTGGCTTTTAGCCTGTGGGCTCTTTGCTTTATCTTTTACTTGGTTGACTTAAATTGTACTTATTGCACTAGTGGTGTCTGTGTAAATATTCACCTATTTGTTAACTACTATATTTCTCATTTAAATGGAATCCTGCTGCAAACCCAGTCTGAGTCCTTGAGAACCTTTGTAAAGTTCAAAATACATTGATGGTTAAATGCAGAATCAAATCTCTGTCATTGATAATGTCCCCCTACTTTGGCTTTTCCCACAGGTCTTTAAAAAAAAAGTTGTGATCTTTTTTTCTCCTTGAGTATAGGATGAACTTGACAGAGGAGACGAGCTCTCCACGTCCCTGGAGATACATCCAGGACAAGAGGAGTGATTCTGAAGAGAGAGAACTTGGTAGTCTGGTGGACATTGTTCAGATCACACTGTGCCAGTATGATCCGCTTTCTCTGTTGAAAATGGAGATATGTAATTTAATATGACATAATTTCTTTGGCACCTTGGTCTGTCTAGCTGGTCTTTTACTAGCCTTGTTACCTTTCTGTCCTCATTAGGCTAAAACCACTGGGTGGCACAGGCCAAACCTTTTGCTGGAGAAGTGGTGGGTATTAGTGGGGGGGGAGGGGAAGCTGACTTACAGTTGTAACCCCTTCATGTGTGTGGAATAGAAGCAAATTTGGGGGGGGGTTGAGAGAGAGAGAGAGAGAGAGAGGAAGCACATCAGTATACTTTGGTGGTTGCTACAATGTTTGCCTCTTTTCTTTTTTCTTTAGTACCAGGGCCTCCTTGTGAGGTAGGCTGGTACAATAGAAGGGGGGTTTGGGAGTCAGAAGACTTGTGTTCTAGCTCTGACTTTGTCACTTTCTAGTGTCTGATTTGTAGAAAATGATTTAGCTTGCCTGTGATTCAGTTTCTTCACCTGTAAAATGAGAGGCTTGGAGTAGGTGATCTCTAAGGTTCCTTCTAGCCCTAAATGCTCTGATTCTGGCTGGGCAGAGATAAAATAGTAAAGGTCACTTTTGTTACTGAGTTATTTCCTGGTATCCCAAAATAAACTTATTCAGAGCCTAAAACCCTAAGGAGAAAATCAACAATGAATGCTTGGCTTTCATGTTAAAATGATATCTATCTAGTCTGAGAATCAGACTTAAATCATTCTGGATTTGGTGTATTGGCTGGCATTCCTTCAGTGATGGAGCTTCATTTAAAATTGGAAGAAGGAAACTGGAATGCTACCTACCCCTAAGAAGACTGTGTTGAAAGAATCTTAATAAGAGAAGGGAGTCTGAGGACCTAAGTGATGGTGGCGCAATTAAGTGACCTTTTCCTTTGTCAGTAAAATCACAGTCTACCTTGGACAAGGAGGCCATTTTGACTGTACTTGGGGATCCCAGGTATGGGAAGTATCAACTCTTAGATGAAAATTAAGGTCACGGCACAGCTGTTGAGGATGGCAAAAGTATAGGTAATCAACTTCTGACTGAAATGAAGCTTCTAGATTTTCTGTAGAGACATGTTGTTTTTTCCTTCTACTCTCGCACTTTCTGTCAGAGTCACTAGCAAGCAACTTGGTTTGAGGTTGGTTTGAATTTCATATTTATCTTCAAAAGATATGTGATTTCAGTAGTGTGAGTGTTCACCCCCTCATCCCCATAGATCCCATATCTTCAGCATCTTAGAAGATGAAAATTTTCAGCTAGGCAACTCATATAGCAGCTCACCTCTTGGCCAGCCTTCGGTGGAGTCTCACTGAATTTAGCTAGTCTTGAACTTAACTGGTCTTGGGATGACTGATGTGCAGTCTGTGGCTAGATCTTAATTCAGAGATTTTTTCAGCTTTTTAGGTAGGACCTGCCAGAGTTTACAATGCATTGGCATGTATAGTGCTTGGGAGCCCAGTTACTCCCATAGCTTGATGATGTGTTGCATTTCTCCTTTGCTTGTTTCCCTTGTTTGTGCCCTGACAGTAGGGTTTATAAGAGAAGTTATCAAAAGTCAGGCAAGCCAGAAAGAGAAAGACTGCACAGTCTGGATCATTCTTATAGGATTATCAGTTCCAGAATATTTGGAATTGGGCTGTCTTTGAGCATTAGTCTTCCTTTGGTATACACTTCTTCCCTCCTTTCCAAGATCAGGAAACAACCTGCTGTTTCCAGACTGAAGAGTAAAGTCAGATTTAGGCTTGGAAATAGCATTGTGTGGGTAGCATCCTCTAAGTGTAGAGGGTAAAGGAACCAGCTGAATGAGTTATTACACACCAAGGAGCTTCCAGGAGTTAACCATTAAAAATCTGGGCAGGGTGCTAAGTCACATTTGACAGCATATTAACATCTCATAAATTTCTCTTGCTAAGTGTCTTTGTAACCTAATATCATATTCTTTGTACATAACTGTACCATTTCCATCCCTTCCTCCTGACTGCAGAATATCTAAAAGGTCTGGGAAAGGCACATTTCCATTTCAAGACAGTAAATATTGCTTTAAGAAAAATAATCCTGACACATATTTATATGTTATTTTTTGCTTGTCTTCAAATTTCAGGCATTTTAAGTAGCTACTGAGGGGTACAGTGGGTAGAAGTTGAACTTGGAGCCAGGAAGACCTGAGTTTAAATTGTGCTTCAGACACTTCCTAGCTGTGTGACTGTGGGCAAGTCATTTCATATCTCCAGGTCTCAGCTTCTCATCTATAAAATGGGGATAATAATAGCACCTACCTCACAGGGTTATTGAGATAATATTTATAAAGTGCTTTGCAAACCTTAAAGTGCAATAAAAATGCTAGCTATTATTGATAGTGTGGCCATATTTAAATATATCTACTTCTGGTATTAATACAAGTATATCTTATAGATTTTCTTAAAATAAAAAAGTGGATCTTTTATTTTCAAAATTTATTTTGAATAAGCATTTATTTTCTCTTCTTCCTCCTCCTCCCTTATTACAAAAAGGAAAAACAACATTCTTGTCACAAATATGCATAGTCAAACAAAACAAATCTCCTCATTAGCTGTATCTAAGAAGCATATGTCTCACACTGCATCTTGATTCATAGATCTTTTTTAAGTGCATCTTTAGCTCACAAATAATTGGAGGTGTCCCCTCTGTTAGGCTCATGGTGGAATGAAGTTTTGAGTTCCTGAAGGCTCTGTCCATAGAGCACAAACTCTGCCAAGTCCCACTAACCTGGCAAGGGTTCAAATAGAAGCTTAGAGATAGACTTGTGTGTTAATCTGAGAACAAACTTAAGTCTGAGTTTGGCCACAGGATGATGAACTTTTCAATCGGTATCTCAGGAGGACCATTTACTATGGTGTAAAGAGAGGTGGTAATTTACCTAAGTTGAGGGACTATCTGCACCAAAGAAGTATATTTATTGTACCCTTCTCATTGGTATCCACCTATTTTTTTTCTGTCCTTCATGCTGTAATTGACTTCAGTTGAGCAAGGAAAAAAAAAAACAATCCACCAACTGAAAGCATCTAAAATGTATTAAAATAAAAGCTCATGAAACTATGAGGTGGGTTACAATTCTGAAGTGGTTAGCTTGTTGGCTAGAGTACCATTGGACTGAGGCCAGACACCCTCCCTAATCGTAGCTTTTGTTTACAACAGGCAAGAAGTTGTAGAGGACCCATCCAAACCCATCATTACTACTGCAAAACCAGTCCAAGTGTATTGGCCCTGTTGAGGGTACACATATAATAATGTGTCATAATGATGACAGGCCACAATTGTCCAACACTTTCTGGTTTACAAAATGCTCTCCTGGCATTAAAAGCCCACCAAGTATTATTACCCTGATTTTACATACGAGGAGACTGAACCTCAGGAATGAAGTGACTTGTTTTTGGCTAGATGAAGAGTCACAAGTAGACTTCAGACCTAATCAAAGGAGAAAGGACTACAGACTGGAGGTTTGGTAAGAAGAGATAAGTTGGTCTGGCTAGGGCAGGCAAAAAAAGAAAAAGGAGAAGGCTTCTGGTGTTAGTAAAGAGCTCTAAACACATTGAAGTGTGCATTAATGGCCTGCTGATCTATGTCCTTTGAGATTCTGTTGACTGCAGACACGAAGAACTTGGGCAGTTGTAGGAACACAGCAGCAGTTCTATGGCCTGTCGGTTGTACATCAAAGGTATGTTCTCAGTGATCCTCTTTGGAAGCTGAAGCTCTTCTTTGAGTGAAATGAGAGGAAGCTTAAATGATTCTTTCTGCTTATCAAAATCAGTTTCGAGACCAGGGTTGTAAAGCTGGGAGTGGATAGAGAGGACTTCAAGATAGGATGCCTTGCATTCACGTCTGGTTTTGTGAGCCCTAGGCAGTTCACTTTACCCCTCAGTGCCCCAGACAGCTCTGTAAATTGCAGAGAAAGTATCAATTCCTACTGATAGAGGGAGTTTTCTTGCCCTGGCATTTCTTATACCAAGGAGATCACAGATCCTGTCTTCAACTGCTGTTATAGCATAGCTAGACATGTGCATGTGTGGTCAGATGGAGAAAAGTCCCAGCTTGGTAGGCAGGAGACCTTTCTTCTTGTCCGGACTCTGCTTTAGGCACTGTGGCTTTAGGTAAGTCAGTTAACTTGATATGGCTTCTTCTTTTGTAAAATGATGTTGCTAATACCTACCCTACGAATTTCATAGGTTTTAGTAATCTAAAAGATGAAAAAGCAGATGTGAAAACTGTTTACAGAGTTCTATGAAGGAAAGAAGTTATTTGGCAGTTTTGAATTAAAAGGATTCATTTACAGAAGAACAAAGTGTTGTTACTGCAAACAAAGTAGTGGGGCCTTTAGAGATCCTTGACTCATTCTCTTACTGGTCTAAACCTTGAATTGGAACTATTTTAAAAAACATTTGTGAAGTGACTAGAGGGTGCCAGGCAGATGGTTAGATTCGTGTTCATCCTATTCCTTAGCATGTTCCCAGAATTGGGACCATGATATTGATCTGACCTAGTGAGACCCTTCTTTGATCTGTAAAAGATGCGTGTTTTCCTCGGCATAGAAGGCTTCTCCACCAATTCTGGTCATGCCCCTTCGGCACTGTAGCTGACAACTCTTTATCAACTGCTGGGACCAGTTCATTGTCCTTGTGCCGAGCTTCTGGTGATAAGCCTTGTGGGGCCTAGGCAGACTGGCCCTCAGACATCAGGCTATTGCTGAGATTGTCTGGCTTAGCCAGACCTGCCGAGCAGAGCTTGTACTGTGCTGACATGGTCTCAAGGTACCCACAGCCACTTCCACACTGCAGTGAGGAGGAACTCAGTGGAGTGTGCTTGCTGTCTGTGTTTGAAAATGTCGTCACTCTTGTATCATGTATCATATCTGGGCTTTCACAGTAACGCATGCGACTTGGGGAAATTACAAAATGTCTTTGGGGAAGCATTATTCACTGGCAGTAGAAAGTGGTCCTTGTACCCCACTCCGTTAGGGGTTCTAAATCACTGCCTCCTCTTATTCCCCCCCTCTACAATATAGACAGTTGGCAGGGAAAGGAG